TAAAATTATTAGTTTTATTATGTTTTTATTATATTTTTATTTAATATTTTCTTATTTTAATAGTCAAAATTTAATGCTTTTTTGAGCTTTGTTGTTAGTCATGACATTATTTTTTTCAATAAAGAAATGTGTGAAAAAAAAGTGCAACATTTGTGAGTCTATAAGGCTTTCACAAGATATTTTTGACCAAATTCATCATTTTTCAGATCCAATTCCAGAAAAAGATGATCATTATGCTTCTTTAGATGATGTATATAATAAAAATACTACTGAGATTTATCAACCTTCACTTATAAATAATAATAACAAAAAATTTCAAAAAAAATTAAAAAATAAAAATAGTATATCATTTAATGGTATAGCACAAAGAGTAAAAAATATTGGAATAACAGTTATGTGTTCAGAATGTGAAAGATGGCAATTGTTTTATTCCAAACAAAAACTAAATGAATAAGAAAAAAATTGCTACTTGTATTTTTGGATACTATTGAATATTCTTGCATATCATTATTTTATAATGCAGAAAACCTTTTTAGAATTTAAAAACAAATTTTTTTATAACCAATTAATGAATTAGAATTAGAAAATAACTCTAAGTTTGAATTCGTAGTTACCAGATTAAAATCAAAAGATAAAAAGTGAGTTAGTACTGAAATTGAATCAAGTAATAGTGAATATATTGAAAATAATATTGATAATTCATTAAACCAAAATATGCAATATTCGGATTCAGAAATTTGAGAAAATTTATTTTATACAAATACTGATATTAATAGTGAATTAATAGATAGTAAAAAAAGCAGCAATAATAGTGAATTCACATATAGTGAAGAAAGTAATTATTATAATGATGATAAACTGGCAAATAGTAAAGTAAATGTTGATAACTCTAGTGAATCTATAATTAATGGATTAATAAGTGATGAAGAAAGTAATTATGATAATAATGAACTAACAAATTATAAAGTGAATGATAATAATTCTAGTGAATCTATAAATAATGAATTAGTAAATAGTGAAGAAAGTAATTATGATTCTGAAACCAAAAGTTTATCAAACCTTGATGTTGACAAAACAATGATTAAACAGTTATTTGAAAAGGTGTTTATAAATGATGGATTAACATGTAATTCTCCGATGGAAAAGGCTTATTACTCTGCCTAAATATTTTCATTGCTATGTTTTAATTATGGTGATACTGATATTGTTACTCCAATTCCAGATACTCAATATCCATTATGCATAGAATGTATACAAAAAGGTGTTAAAACACCAACTTGTGGAAAGTCCTTAAAATTTATAGCACGTATTCACAAAAACAAAAAAAAGTTAATACAAAAATAAAATTTTAAATTAAAAATTCTAATTATATTAAATAAATATATTAATTAATTATATTATTTTATAGACGGCTTGATAATGATTAAAAATATACTATTTATAATAAATCAACTTCTTTCATAATTATATACATTAAATATTCATTCATATTATAATAGTTACTAGTTAAATATCATATTATTAAGTTAGGTCATATATATTTTATATTTGTATTAGGCAAATGCTGATTTTTTTAAACCAGATTTATTAAATTTATTAAAATATATATTAGTATTATCATTTTAAACCAAATTGTTTTTAT